CTGTACTAAACCATTTCAGCTTTTTCCTTGAACACACAGCAAGAATTTATGCTACACTCACAAAAAGATGAAAGATGAGGTCCTTGGAGAGAAAGGCCTTTTGGCACACTACATGGTAAAGCTACAGATTTGACATACTTTTATAATGTCTGCTTTGGCAAGAACACAAAAACCCCACACAAAAGCGTGGTACGTCCTCCCAGACAGGGGTGTAGGGGGTGTCCTACTCTTGTGAGCATTTACTTTCAAATGCTCTCACTTCAGAGACTATTTTGATCGGTTACTTTAGACTAACAAATTCTCTTTTGCTACATGAACAGTTTGACAGTCAGACTACAATTCTCCTCACAGCCCCATCTAACAAGAGAGAATCTTTGGCTGGGGTCCAGCCAGAGCCTTAAATTTGTCACATCCTATTTCTGATGAATGATCTGCAGCAGTTTTAAGATCACAAAGTGCTTTGAAAGTTAAAAGAAAAATTTCACAAGTAGTAAGCTTTCACTTTCTTTATAAAGGTATTTAAACAAAAACTGCTAGTGGATTCTTTCTACTTCTGCATCTCAAAAAACCGCCAAAACAATCTTTCAGCTGAGGTTAAAAAAATAGGAAACAGTTGCAATGCACTTGCCTACAACGTATCAAAAGGCTAGAACTGGATTTCCAGAAGTGCTCAAGTGCTTAAGCAGTTATCATTTGTAAAAGAAACAATACAAGCTCTTTGTAATTTACTGCCTCCATTTCTGGGAAGTTTCACTGTTATGAGATGCCACGGCAAAAACACAAATCACAGTGTCAGAAAACACTTTGATTCCTTCCTTTACACAAAGATTAAAAATATGAAAAGAGATCCAGGAAAAGAGCAGTATTTGACACAAAGCTTCTCTCTCGCTCTCGAATTATCCCCAATGTGTAACAATTCCAGTGAGTGCGAGAAGACCCTGCAGCAAAGGCACAGACTGACCATCAAAACTAATTCCTTTCACTATTGGTCAGTGTTTTCCCTAGAATATTTCATTTTTAAAATCAAACCATGACTATTTTTTTTTCCTGAAAGTCAGTGTGTGGGAGTTGGTGAGAAGCACCAGACTTGTAACTTCCTATCCCTGACATACTTACACCTGACACACAACACGGATTTCTCACTGGATAAATTCCATGTACTGTCACTGTAAAATGCAGACTCTGCTCTTTCTATTCTGGTTTGCTGCTTCTCACTTGTGGTGAGAAGGCTCCCGGCTCAGGAGCAGCACATCCTGCAAAGAGGGAACACAGGAGGCCTGCAGGGATGAACAAGGAGCTCCTGGACAAAGCAAACACAAACAGGCAGCGTACAGAGGGTGGGAGCAGGGAAACCACACACACTGACTGAGCTTCACCTAGCCAAGGGGAGCTCCCAGGTGCCACAGAAACCACAACCACCGGGCAAAGAAACGGTTTGGTATCCCCTTCTCCTATGGAAACACATTTTTAATAATGAATTTTCATCTTAACATTCCCAGTCACAGCTGCAGCTTTCTTGCTTCACAGTTCTCAAAACAAAGACATCCCGTTTACTTCAAGTGACTCAGTACAAAAAATCCATAAGTTTCCAAGTAAGATCTGTGAACCCAACAAAGAAAAGCACAAACACAGCCTTTAGATACAACTGAATGCCAGAATTGTAAAGCACACCAAAGACTTCACGTGCCAAAAACATACAATGCTGAGCAGAGATGAGCACCATTGCTAAACAATCCAGAGGGGAAAGGACAGCGAGACCACAGCAGGCTGATCCAGGGATCATTTCCTCTCTCAGTTCCCACATTTCAGTGTGGTTTGGCAGAGTCCTGCCTGGGTTGGAATAAAACAACGTTTGTCTTTTCAACGTCTTCGGTTGCAATGAAGTTCTTCTCTTTGTACCTCATACAAAACATCTCCCAGATGATCCTGAAGTTTACCTTTCTAGAAATCAAACCTTAGGATCATTGGATAAGTCAGGTTGGAAAGGACCTCAGGAGGTCTCCAGTTCAATCTCCTGTCAAAGATGGGCCAGGTGTGAGGTCAGACCAGCTTGCTGAGGCTGTGAAGCAGTTGGGTCTTGAAAAGCTCCCGGGATGGGGATGCACAACCCTGCGAGTGCCCTGCTCTGATCCGTGACTCCTCCTGGTGAACACATTCACGTCTCTTGAATCAGCCTGTCACTGCACCTTGTCCTGCTGCCAGGCACACTGTGGGGAGCCTGGATGTCCCCTCCCAGAGAACTCCTCACAGGTGTGGAAGCTGCTGCTCCGTTCCCTGGACCCAGCCCAGCACTGGTCTCCTCCCAGTGAAGTGCTCCAGCTCACCGTCCTCACGGCCCCCCACTGAACTGGTTCCAGTTTATTGACATCTTCCTTAGAGCCCAGAACAGGTTTCTTCCTTCTGCAGTCGACTGTCTTGGTGACTAAGTGAGAACCTTCCACAGCCAGCCCTGGCCCAGCTGCCCAGGGCAGTGGTGGGGTCCCCACCCCTGGGGGGATCCACAGGACGTGCAGACACAGGGCGTGGGGACACGGCCTTGGCACTGTCACGGTTATGGTTGGACTCAAAGATCTTAAAGGTCTTTTCCAATCTAAATAGTTCTATATGACAGCAAATGGAAACTGCTGTTTTCATCCATTTCAACAGTTATGAACCAAACAACATTTAATGCAAGGCTGTGAATTCCATGAGCAGTAACGTGACTCGAACGCACTACTGTCCGTGGGGAGTTACGAACACCAGTCAGTGCCTCCCATTTCAGCAGGATGCAAGTGAACTGTGGAAGCTTTAAATTCCAGCTGATATTCCCCACTCCCATGGCAAACACCCTTTGCTACTTTCTCACTTTCCCTCTTGCAGTTCTCTCCCCATCCCACCAGGTTGAGGGAGCGAGTGGCTGCGTGGGGCTGAGCTGCCAGCTGGGGTTAGTCCATGACAGCTACCCAAGCTTTGGAATCACAAAACAGAGCAAGTTGTACCATCCCACAAGCCACACAATCCCCCACACCAGGACAGTTACAGCTTTGGAGCAATTCATTCTCCTCGAGACCAGGTCAGAAGATTGATATCAGAATTAAGAGCATTTTAAGTACCAACAGCACTATTACACGAGACATGGACTGAAAAAAGAGTTGTCTTAGTTAATTTGGGGATTGATTAAATGGGGAGAAATAGTTTTTCAAACTTGCCTGATAATTTGCTCCTTATACGCCTTTTATACATTTTGCTTTTCTTAACAGTAGCTGCTCCTGGCCATGTCCCACACATTCCCTGACTGCACAAAAATAAAACCTGATCCCTATTCCTGGGTTTCGGGCAAAGAACAGCCAGTCAGGAAGCAGAAGGAAGCTCTGTGGAGGTCTCTAGGTCTGCATTTCTGGAATGGTGATTCGTGTGGGACATGGTACAGCTGTTAAGTACAGTTGACACTGCAGAGAATCAAACAATCTTCATTTGAAGCAAAATGACAAAGTATTTGGGGATACACAAATCTAAGGCTTCTGAGAATAAAGGGCACCTCTTAAATATAAAAATAATTGGTTGGGAAAAAATCTCTTAAAAGAATACCCAGAGAGAATGAATAACTTCAGAATACATGAGTTGCAAAAACAACTTTTAGAACTTTTTTTACTCCCTAAAAAGAATTTCTGAAGATTTTGCACCTAGAAGTACATCCAACAAACCTAAAAACACAACTAAGTGAAACTCCCACAGAATCAGTTGGTTTATAGAACAAAATGTATACTAAATTCTCCAATTAAAAACCTGTAAAGTAGTTTCCGTGCTTTTTAACCCACCTTCCCACAGCAGGGAATTAATCCCTCCAGGGGGATGCAAACAAACTTCAAAGAGAAGATTATACCCAGACACTAGTACTGTACAATGTAATGTTTATGGTCAAATTTGTTCAGATTTTCTGGCACTAGAATCCAGGTCAGATGTGCAGCAACAAAGAGCAGTTATTAAAAGGGCTCCTGCAGTTCCATGGAATAGCTGGGATGGCACAGAGCAGGAGGACAAGCCAGGCCTGTGCTCCAGTCCCAGCCCCCAGGGAGGCTCTGGCAGGACAGGCCAGAGCTGCAGCTCCTGGACTTCTGTGCAGACAGAGCAGGAGGGAAGGGGCTTTCCAGTCCCTGAGATATCAGAACTGTCTCTTTTGGTTCATTGCACCATATCTACAGCACCCATGTGATCACTCCAGAATTGACAAAAGAAATATCACTTCAGCATATGCTGACTAATCATAACTATTTAATGCTGACATCCCTCCTTTCTGTAGCATTCTAGAGACTGAACTGAATTCTGGGAAAATGAATTTCAGTCTTTGCTTTCCCTGCCTATTTGATCAAGTTCCTCAGGTTACACAAGAGCACAGGCAAAAATTCACAAATACCCTTAGGTGTTGGTTTCAGCAGTCACAGGACATCTCTAGCATAAACACTGGAATACTTGTCAAAAACCATATCAGAAAAAAACACTTGTATAATTATGGCAGGACAACAATGTTTGGTAAAAACAGTTAACCAAATCACAAGCTGTGTCCATGTCTTATTTCCAGATAAAGTCACTTCATCAAAGAATTCTGGGAGTAGATAAAAATAATTCTGTAGACAAGTAAGAAAGAGGAAGTAAAAACAAATTCCACATGAGATGTTTTAAGAGCATTTTTTTATTTTTAACTACCCCTTTCTTACATGAGCAGCAAATACCAACCTGAAAAAGCACTTTTTCAACCTAATGAAGAAAGTTATTTCTATTTTAAAAGACAAAAAAAAGGGCAAAACAGTCAAAGAAATTTGAAAATTGCCCACAATCAGGGACAGAGGCAAGAATTTCTCTTTATTAGTCCTAACTGTACAGGATTCCACAAAACCAGTGATTAGGATATCTCTAAGAGCTAGAAAAGCACAGTATTAAATATACTTCATGATCTCCCAAAACATGGTTCTTACCAACAGTTTCAACCAATAAACAGGCAGAATTACAGTGCAAAGCAGTACCTTTCCCAATGCAGCTGATTCCTGAGTGGGTCACTTCTGCATACACCTCAAAGGTAGTTTCTGGGTTTTGTCTGAAAGGAGAGAAAAGCAGAGAGCACACTGAGAATGTGGTTTAAGTGCACTTGCCATTCCACAGTCACAGAGCACTCTGGGAACACACAGGGAACAACAAGAGCCAGGGAACCCCATCCCTGATCCCACCTGTCAGAATGGGGCTCACACACAGAGACAGGTTAGGCCAGTTCTCGCCCACAGCAGTACATTTATCACATGTGCAACTCAGAAAAGCAAGTTCTTTTCACCTCACCTTTATTTCCAAATGACAAATTAAATCACCTTTGTGCTAAACACAGGGATTTTTTTCAGGAAAAAAAAAAAATCCTGGATACTCTTTTCACCAAACTGAAAACAGTCACATTGTCCAACAAGGAACAAACGACCCAGATTCACGTTTTCATTACTGTGACCCCTGAGTTCAACTTCATGACACCTACTTGCCCAGGAAGAAGGAAAAATAAAGAAGCTGCAGCCAAGAGGAGGCGAAGTCATTTCATGCACACACCACTGAGAAAGTTAAGCAGCTGTATCTGGGATGAAGACACTTCCCCTTCTTAATACCTGCCAAAATATTTCTATCTCTGTCAAAAAAAGGCCGAGCTGGACAATATTACAAATGCACAAGGTTTGGCCTCCTGAGACTCCAGGGCCTTGAATCCAGAAATTTGCCAGATGCAAGGAAATACGTGCAGTAGTCAAAACCAACACCAAACTGAGCTACAAAACATAAATAAAGCTTGAGGAAAGAGACATACTCTGTGCAAGATTTATAAATACACCAGTACTAAAAGTAAAAAGTTGATGATATTACTTCAAAACAAACAAACAAGCCATTTAGTGTATATTTTCAGTCCTTGCTAATGTAACTCCGTGAGTGATGCTCTGGAATTACATTTCACAATGTAATGAGGATGCAAAGGCAGCAGGTGATTAAATAAGAAAGAATATTTTGAGTTTGTCCCTGACTAACAATTTTAGCTACTCCAGAAATTTGTTATGAGATTAAAGAGAATCACACATTACACTGTAATTGTTAAGTTACTGAAATAAGGATTTTGCAGGTCTGAACATGTGACACTTTATTCTTAGACTTTCCGGTTAAAGTCAAGAATCAAAATTGCATAATTACTGCTCCAAATTTATGGTTGTATAGTGATAATGTTGTCTCCTATGTGTTAATGCAAACGATCTAACATTAGAAAATTGCTGAGGTATAATTAACCTGTGAATTTTGTAACTCCCTTACAGCTAAGGACGAAAATAATGACAAGACCCACAAATACATATGCCAGAATTCCTAACTGAACAGTAACCTAAAAAATTAAACTCATCTTACCCAACATCTGAAACCAAACAGATAAACATGTCGAGGAGTTCAGCTTACTCCTCAGAGAATTTCTATTATTTTTAATCCTACTTTAACAGCAAAAGGGATTAAGGAAAACATTTCTAACCATGCCACAGGCCCATTTAGTCTAACTCAAGTGGCTCTAAGCCAAACCCCACACCTATTTAAACCGACAGAAAAGCCCCCACTGCTTTCAGTAGCACAGGATCACACTCCTCAGTTTTACAGAGCACCTCTCAGGAGCAACAATGGTTCACAATTCAATTAATGGTAATTTAATTTGCCACCAGTTCCCAACTGATTTGTCTTAAGTAGCTGGTTTTTTTCTTTTTCAGAAAACTACATTCGTAGGTTATGAGAAATCCAAAGTCAGCTGTTATTGTGCAATATAAAACAAACTTGCACAATTCTCACTGTGCTACTCGAGTTGCTGCCCATAATCTGCTGCAAATACTGGGGTTTAGCCACATTCCAACAATCCTGGTACAGGATGAGGATGGAATGATATCCCATAGCCGCAGAAATGTGTTTTTCCTTTCACACACACTGCTGTGCAGCCTTATCATACCCCCCTTGTCTATGTCTTTATTTTTAGCACCCTGTTTCCTTAATTAAAAGTTTATGAATTTTATAATATTTTTACAGCTAATGGTTAAAATAACAAACACCCTTTTAGAATTATGTTAGAGCCCGTGTTCCAGTTCCTTAGTGAAAGCACTGTGTCACACAGCTGGCAGGAGCACAGACTACACCAAAACTTTCAGACAAAAAGACATTACATTTTGTATTTTAATTTTCCCTGACAAATGTCCATTGATTTCTGTGAACAGTGAAACTGAGGTAGCTTTGCCAAGTGAGAAACTCGGTATTAAAGGCTGCATTCAGCGACCAACACCTCAGTATGAGAATGAAGCCATTGTTGGACTGGGGATAGTTTATAACTTTGCAGTGGAATTAGGGAAACAAGTCACTGTGAGACTTCATACAGTTTGCAAATACAGCATAAACATGATCATAATGTGTATATTCTGCAGTCCACTTTTATGACTATTAAACTGACCTGCAGACATCTAATGCCACCTGTGCCTCGCACTGAGACCTCAACCCCCTGCAACCCTCCACAGCAGCAGAGCCCTAAACACACACTCTGAGTTTGCTTTCCTCCCCAAAATCACTTACAGACCCTCAGTCACTTAGCAAGTGAATATACAGATGCAATAAAAAAGAAAAAGCATAGGACACATATGTACAAAAATACATAAGTAAAAATACATAAGTACCTCATTGTATTGGGTCTGCCCGAGATGGTCAACCCACCACACTCATTTATTTGAGAACTGGATAATTTCAGGAGGAAATGCAATACTCCTTTGTAAATAGAAATTTAGGAAGGAGCTGTATGAGGAAATAATGCTTCTGTGATAAATGCCACTTGTATGAATTACTTCAAATCTCGGACGTAGAAATAACTTCTAAGCAATCAATAAGAAATTCAATTTTAAGTTGAAGTAATATAATATTTCATATAAAGTATTTATGTACCTTTTACTATGAAAAATTTTAGTTTTTACCAAACTGTAAGAGATTTATGCAGAATAAAATTAAACCAAGTCCTGCTCCAAAGCTGTATAATGGAAGCACATATCTTACATACCTACAGCCTATTTCAATTCTGTCAGGAGCATTTTTTCCCAGTGTAATAGCACTTATGACAGAAAGTATCATTCTACTTAAAAATTGAGGCATGAGAGGAGCCTGACACTGCCTGATAATTAGTTGTCTTGTAACAAGATTACTTGCTCAACTCTCGCAGAAATAAAATTATTAGCAGAAATCTGTAATGGCTAATTCAATTCAGAGATTGCAACTGAAGCCTTGATTAACTTCCATACATTTAACTTCTTCTGCCTGGTATTCCCCAGGCAGATAATATCCCATCTTAGTATGTGGCAAACTTTCTGTTAAATATCTGAAAGCTTTCCCAGGTGCATATGGGGTATCTCCTGTGTCAGCAGTGAGACACAACCACCCCTGGAAAGGAACGTGCCCAGCGTTGTCACAGGGGGAGGAATTCTGCTGAACAGATTGCTACTGACACCTTATTTAAAACAAAGAAAGCAAGGATCCTTTCTGTCCTGGAAGGTGGAGTACAAAGGCTATGGAGCAGTGATACAGCAGGTTAATGAGGCTGCTATCCTATATCCTGTATCCTGTATCCTCCCTCCCTGGCTGGCACGAGCGCTGGCACGTTCTGGGCCAGGCTCCTACACAGATTAACCCAGCTCTGTAACCCAACACTCAAACACTCACCGTACCTGCTTTCTCGCCTGCAGCTATACAGAAGCCAAGAGCTCACAGGACTGCTGGCAATTCCTTGATTTCTTTCACTTCAGTCTGATGCAGCCACTGATACTTTTCTCTGAGCAATCTCTCACTCAGATGACTCATTATTATGCACCCATCAGCAATCTCACTGACAGATATGCCCGGGTTCCCTGCAGAGTCTATCACAGTGTGTGCAAGGGATCCCGTGCCAAGAGTGTAATAATCCTCACAGTTATCAATCGGCTGCAAGAAGCAAGAGATCTGAGTACTGATTTTTTACTGGGGCTCCAGCACATATTGGTGACACCCCTAAAGGAGATATCCCTCAGCACACCCAATTATCAAACAGTTTTCTCAGTCACATTCCCAACATGCCCCAATAAGGGAGCTACTTACCAACTTTAAAATCTTTGCTGGATTAAACATCCAGCTCAGAAAAGCAAACCAAAAAAGCCTCTTACTCAGACAGGCTCTCTCATTCTTAATATACTTCAAGACTGGTTTGAAGTTTTGCCCTTACTCTAGTTGGGCACAGTGTTCTGTCCAAAACAGAAAAAAGCAATTTATTAAGTGTAGCTCAAGGCAAAGTTGCTTAATCACTCAACGGCCAAAATGCTGTCTCACAAAGTCCAAGAATGAAAAGCAGTGTTTATCTGGGGTTATCACCTGTGTTTTCCTGGTAACTGGGAAAGACATGGGTTTTATCTGCAATCTTGAAAGACAAGTTCACACTGAAGGAATTTGCACAGAAAAGTCCTAAAGTCCACTGGCTGCACTAAACATTTCTAATGGCTACGTCTCCTCCCTGACACCAGTTTCTGGTTGGAGCATCTCCCCTGCCTGATGGCATTCTCATTCAGCAAAGTCTACTCAAAGGCTGAATTCCAACTAGCAATCACAAACCCAAAGAGGGTAAACACAGCTTATGAATTTGGTATGCACACAAAACCCCTCTGCCTTTAAAGTAAGTATCAACCTTTGAACAGATTTAAGACAAGGTCATCTTAAGGAGTCATTTTGAATCAGGAACTTGAAGTGATTCAAGCAAGGGTGACCATTGTAAGATCTGAAGGCACAGGTTAGAGATACAGCCTGCTCTGCTGCCAAAAATACCAGCAGTCTTAGACCTGTACTTGACTGTAAGAGTTTCACTAGTTTCTAAAGCTTTGATTTCTTTGTAGCAACAGCTGAGAACACATATGCCAAAAAAGTGCAAAGCTCATGCCCACAGTATGCCCAAGGAAGGAAGGCTTTCTGGAACCAACCAATTGCCTCAGTGCCATCATTATAAACACTCATTATCCACTTACATGTTCCCAAAACACCTGGTTGAACAAACACACATGTAAGTCTATCCAGCCCGTGGGCTTGGGAACATGAAGATGTGTCATCACACAAACTATGTCCCCTCTAGTCCTGTATTCAAGTTAAACAAAAGAAGGGAAAAGTTAAGCTCCAGGTAATCTTGAAGATCACCGTTGTCAAGAAGGAAGAACAATTGCTCAACAGCACCTGCTGAAACTGCTGAATAAACCAGAACCTGACTGGGTCTCTCCCCTTTATTACCCTTTCACACACAGAGATGTCAGCACTCCCTGCTTGGTGATGGCTTCATTACACCTTTGCCTGTCTCGGAGGAACTGAATTTTCCTGGAAATGGCATATGAATGAACTGAGACCTTTAACGTGACAATACCAAACATACCAACAGGGCTTACCAATAAATCAACCACCAGTTTTTTGAAAACTAAAAAAACATTGAGAGCATGGATCTGCAGGCCCAACACATCCATCACTCGAACCACTCTTCTCCTTCCCCCAAGCCCCTCTGCTGATGCAGTCTGAAGGTCTCCCGGACAGACCGCGGTGCTTCCACGAGCGCACTCTGACCTGGCCAAAGAGCTCTGAGCTCCCTGGACCGCTCCACGCCCCCGGACGCCGCCGGTGCCGGCCGTGGAGATGTTCCCAGCGCAGCACCCCCGCCCTGCCCAGGCCCGCAGCGATAACGCCGCGCTGCGCTCCCCGCCCGGCCCCGCGGGCGGCGGTGCCGGGGTGGGTGTGAGGCACGGCCGGATCTCGCCCCTCCCGGGGCAGGGCCGGGGGTCCCGCCGGGGTCGGGCTCTCACGGCCCGTCCTGCCCGTCCCGGGGGTCCGCGGGCCGGGAGCGCTCTGCCCCTTCCCTGTCCCCCTCCTCGCCCTGCCCGGGGCCCGCGGGCTCGGCGGGGTCCCGCCCGCGCGGCCTCTCCCGGAGCGCAGGGAGGGCGGGGAAGTCAGTCCCCTTCTCGCTCTGCCGAGGGCCCGGAGCGGGGCCGCAGAGCCGCGGGGGGCACTCACTTGATCCTGGATCCCATGGTCTCCGGGGGGCCGCATAGACCCGTGTGGAGCGAGGCAGGGCCGGGGGCCGAGGGCCGCGCTCTGTCCGCCGCTCGCCCCTCACTCCATCCCGGCCCGCGCCGCGGCGCCCCGGCCGAGTCACGGCGCGGGGGCTGCCGGGAGCTGTAGTGCGGCGGGGCCGCGGCTGAGGGAGCGCCCGCGCGGGCTCCGCGCTCTGCTCGCCGTGCCGGGCGGCAGGAAAACGGGCAGCGGGCACAAAGTGGTGCACGGCGAGTCCCGCCTGAACGTGGGGAAGAACTTCTTCCCTGTGCGAGTGACCGCGCGCTGGGACAGATTGCCCAGAGTGGGTGCGGAGTCTGCCTCGCTGGGGATGTTCCAGAACCGTCTGGACGCAGTCCTGTGCCACGTGCGCCGGCATGGCCGTGCTGCAGCAGGGAGGTGGGACCAGCGGAGGCACAGGGTGCCCTTCCAGCCTGACCCATCCAGCGGCTCTGTGAGCGGGAGCGCCGGGGATCCGCGATGGCAGCGCTGGGCGCTCCCGCCCCGCCCGGGGCCCGCTCCCCTCAGGGACATTTGGGCGGGAGCCCCGATCCCCTCATGGAGGTTTAGGCGGGACGGGCCCGCTCCCCTCAGGGACATTTGGGCGGGAGCCCCGATCCCCTCATGGAGGTTTAGGCAGGATGCACCCGCTCCCCTCAGGGCTCCTCAGCAGCTGAAGGGCGGCCCGGATGACCCGGGGCTGGGCAGGACTCGCCTCCCTGCCCGCCAGTGGGACCGAGTCATGAGAGACCTTCGGACAGGCCTTGCCAGCATATCCGAGCCCAGGTATCGCTTCTCATGCGATGCCCGGGGACTGCAGGAGCCAGAGGAAAAAGGCGCAGACAGGAGCGGTGAGCGCTGCCCTCGCAGAGCTGCGACAGAACATTGTGCACTGCTGGGCACGGAGACCAGGAAAGACCTAGAAAGGATCACCAGCCCAAGCAAGGTCATAAAGGGGACTGGAGGCTACTCAGAAAGTGCAGGCGAGATGGAATGCAGTCTGCTGGAAACACGGCTCGTGCTGACTCAAAAACCGCAGACAGACAGCTCGTGTTGGAGTTGGCCAACAAGAACAGGTACCCAACGATTTTATTAAACATGTTTTACAAGAAGTTTTCAGGAAGGTTTGGAAAATTTCTAACATAATTTAGAAATTTCTAATTTTTTAGAGTTGGGGGTGATCTGCAGTGAGGAATGAAAGACATGGAAATTTGGCTTAAGAAGGCCTCTAAACTGCAAATCACTGTGGAAGCCAAGTGCTTGGCTGAGGAGTCTGGTCAGCTAGAAAGATGGGAGAGAGAGAGGATATCCCGTTTGAGATACTTTAATATCCCATTTGCTCCCCAGAGAGGCTGGGTAGGAGAAATCATACCACCCTCGTTCAAGTAGTAAATATAAAACATGTTAAACATTTATGCAAAAAGTCCTGGAGGATTTGTTCACAGTTACAGTAAGTCGAAGAGATGTTTGGGCAGATGAGGAGGAGTGTTTCTAGCACTAGTCTGAGTACTCGGGATGAGGTGCTTCCACCCACAGCTCTGCCACAGGAGCTGGGTGTCAGGTCAGCCCTCGGTGTTCAGCCTGGAGCAGTGGTGTGGATGGACCTGTGCCCTGTCCTGAATTACTGTTTGGTCTGGGCTGCTGTTCCCTGCCTCACACACCAATACCCGCAGCCATGTGAAGTAGCTTTGTAACCGAAATTACTGTGTTCAGACCATGAGTATTGTAACTGAACCAGTCAGTGCACTAGGGGTTATACCAATAATGGTCAAATGAAGATAAGTTCATAAAAATGTCGTTAAAATTGGTTACAAAAGCAAAAAAAACCCCATGGTCAGTAATGAGGAAAAAAATAGGGAAGCTGGTAAATACAAAGCTGATGCGGTGTGAAATGACAACATTCTGGGAGTGGCTAAGAGAGTTTCTTAAATTTCTTCACCCTTTTTGGAACAGGGATTGCCCTTAAGAGGTAAAGCCACAGACTCACAGTTTTAGTTTTGCTCTGTTCTGTTTAGTGTGCATTTTAAGGATTTGGTAGATTTATTAATATGAACAGATCTAGTGAATGTTTAATGTGGATGATGTAGTGTGCAAGAGTAGTAGGCTGGTTTATATTTGATGGTTTTTAGACCGGACATACCAAGGATTAAAGTGCTGGGTGATTCAAATGAGCAATTTAAATCCTCTCACGGAGTAAATGAGTGGTTAACAAGTATGCATTCACCCCAGAATGGGGGGAAAATGGGGTATAAAAGTTGGATTTTGAGAACTGGACTGGATAGCTGAGGTGGTGGATGAACTAACTGATAGTGGTTGATAACTAACAAATGCCAGGAAAAATGGCTGCAAAATTAGTGTTTGGTAACTTCATTTAAATATGTCTGGGTGAAATATCTATTTTGTAGGTGACTGATCCTGGATCTTGTGCAGGTGTATGCCTGAACTTCTGAACAGGAAGTGTTACAGGCACATAGGTTATGTGATAAGCATGAGACAATCAGTCTGAAAACAATATGGTTGTGTGTTTCTAGAAGAGGATGACCTACCTCAAGCTCACAGTTAATAAAGAGGAGTTAGATTAATAAAAATAAATGCGAGTGTGTATGGAAATGATAAGGTTCTGTCCTTGCTGCAGAAGATGCAGTAATGGGTCTGGCAACACGAGCATTGCAAATTCATTCTGTGGAAACTCCGGTTTAAAAGAGTGCCTAATAAAACAGATGTGAGCTTGTAAATCTGGTAATGCAAGGTCAGAGGAAACCAGAAAGGTGACAAGAGGATGAGTGTCCAGAATTTATTCTAGTTAAAGGATAAAGCAGACTCTCAATATGGAATTTGTATGTGCACTCCACTTTATTTTGTATATATGAAACAAGCAAAGTCAGATGTATTCCAGAATGCAGAGTACAGAACACGGCTTGTACTCTCGAAATGTCAATAATAAAATAGGAGCGTTCATTCAAAATTTCAACTAAATAGGTGCTGAATATTTAAATATTTATTCAAATCGTGAAAACTGTATTTTCTGTGCAAAAGCCGACGGGAAAACAAAAATGTTAAACGTGATGTAGATGTTGCTGTTCAAGCGCAGGGAGTTCTTCTCTCTATCTGCCTAATTTGTGTTCCAAGCTGTGGAGTGTTTTTTTCCCCCTGCTTTACCTGGTGTACTTATGTAAACAAGCAGCTCATTAGGTCCCCCAGGTCCCATTTTGTGCTGTCGTGCTGCTGGTGCCCCTGTCTGCAGGTGGCCTGGTGGTCGGTGGTAATTGTGTCCCAGTGAAGGGCAGCGGGGACAGCGAAGCCCCCGAGGACAGCCGAGGGTTCCAGCAGTGCCTGCTGGCCTGGCCTGGGCTGCACTGCCTCAGAATAGATGAGCTGATTAACTCTGAATCGCCCTCCCAGAAGAGATGGAGCATTAATAGCAAACAAAAGGGAAGCAGAAGGGAAACTTCAGCCAGAAGAAAATAATCCAGGAATTAAAAGCTTGGTGAAAGCCTTAGGATGCTTCCAGATTGACCCGAAAGTCTTAGTTCAATACCACAGAAATAGAGGTCTGATACTGTGCACTCCAGGAAGGATTTGGGGAGTGTGGCTGAGCCCGTATTTTAATCTGTAACACACCCCCAGCAGCCAATCTACATGAGAACACAGTTACTGTTCCCTCTCCTGCGGTGACAGCCCTTCTGGAGCATCCTGTAACCTGAGTGTACTGGGGAGATTGTCCCTGCTGCAGCTCAGCCAGTGGGAGTGGCAGGGGGAAAATGCTGACTTTAGAGATCAATAGTAAAGCTTCATCTAAAAGGTTATGCCTTGAAAGAGAATATCCTGCTACCTGACTAATATTGATTATAATGTTCATGTGCGTTTTTCCTCATTTCTCAGTGGCTGAATATTAGGAAAATCTCTACCAATGTTTATAAACTGATGGAAAGCTTATTAAAGATATTTCCTAAATGTGAAGCAGAAATTATTCCATCAGCCTCAAGTTTGTAATTCTTGTGGTTATCAAACAATAAGCCTCGTGAGTTATGGATCAGGTCATTGCAAACATTGCAAGTGTTCCCATATGTTGCTTTAGAGAAAAGCCTGTTCTTAATGCTCCCAAACTGGGATTCACCAGGCATTGTTAGGATAGCTGGTTACCCTCAGAGACATTTATTTATGCCCTGAAACATGGGAGATGTTTAAATCAGCCTGTGTACCTACTTATATGGGTGGAAATGGACTACAGTGACTTGTTTTCCATCACAAGTTGAGAAACAATAATCTGTAGTGGTAGTTGCACAGAGTGAAACCGATTTATGACAAATACAGAACAAAATAGAAAAACTGATCAAAAAAAAGAAGAAAGAAAAAAAAATCCAGTTATAAGGACATAACCAAAGAGTTAAATCAAAAGCATTCTGTCTCCCAAACTGGAGACTGGCAGATGTTTAAGGAAGAGTGTAAGAATGTGGATGCACGTAGAATTCTCTCCCAGCCTCCAATAAATTAATGTATTTTCTCAGCCTCAAGTGCTGCTTCTGAGTAGCAGCTTTTGGGGGACCGAGCACTGTCCCCACTTGGACATTGAGCCCAGCCACTGACCACAATTCCATGTTGGCTGTCACCAAGTGCCTCCCTATTTTTGCTGTGCCTTAGCAGAGTTTCCAAAAGTATGTGTTCCATGATCTTGCCCAGCACAGAGGTGAGACTGAGCACCCTGTCTCCCCATCAGAGGGAACTTTGCTGCATTGCCATGACTTCTGAAATACGGTGAATAGTGGCCTAGCAATGTTATCCAGCAGTTCCCTCAGGATCTGTGGATGCATCTCGTCAGTTCCCACGGACTTGTGCACCTTCAGGTTCCTCAGATGGTCTCAAACCTGATCTTCTCCCCCAGCAGCTGGCTCTTCATCCTCCCAGTGCCTTTGCCTTCTGCCGGGTGGGCGGAGTGGCCAGAGCACGTGGTGCTGCAGATGGAGGCAAAAAAGCCACTGCTTCCCTCAGATTTGGGCGCGTCCTGGGCAGCCACGTCCCCCTCTCCTTCCTGAGAGGACCCACATTTTCCCCACTCTTCCTTTTATTGATGTACCTATAGAAGCTTTCCTTGTTGCCCTTGATGTCTCTGGCCAGATTTCATTCTCTCAGGGCTATAGCTTTCCTACCCTGATCCCTGGCTTTTCAGACAATTTCTCTGCATTCCTCACAGGCTACCTGTCCTTGCTTCCACCCTCTGTAGGCTTCCTTTAAAAAGCTAAGTAAGCAGTAAAATACCTTCCCTTTCAAGTGTTTGAAGTACCATACACTGAATGACCTTTTCATTTTCCATTCACAAAGAAATAAGAAATAACTATTCTTATTTCTGATACCTGTGATTATACCAATAGCTGTAACTCAGGCCCATGAAATCCTTTAATATAATGAGCCGTGCTGGAGAGTCATTCCCCTAAAGAAAAGAGCCCTGGATGATTGACCTGAAATGACCTCTTCATTTTTTAGTGAAAGGAGATCTAAATATGGCAAACATTTCTCTCAACAGATGACATCTTCCCCATCAGAATATCTTATGATTAACAAGAATTGGTTATTTAATTTTATGGGGAAACCAGCAAAATGGCCATGACAACTATTTATTCTTTGTCTTGAACTGTGCAGTGATTTTCCTGTCAGAATTTTTTTTCTCTTCACTTATTTCCATTGTTTGCATAATAGAGAAATAGCCAATTCAGCATCAAGGGGTCAGTGCTTAGAGAAGTATTGTGGTAAAAGAGTGGGCACCCTTTGCTGGTTGTTACATATTTGGTGCAAGCAGGCACAGTTTTCATAGTCTCCTGCCAGCATCTTCCCCACAATCACTTTTATTCTCACCTGCTCTGTTTGCCTGTATCATGTAATCTTTTATCATTTCAGAAATTCTTCCTGTTATAAATGTCTTCAGCTTTTACCATCACCTTTGCCTCAGAGCACTCTCCAGCCAAGAACAGCAGTTTTTGTCTTGAAGACCCATATTTCATTATTGCCTTCAGCATGGCAACTTCACATTTTCTTCATAAAGAGACAATTACCTACCAAAGTAAAATTAAATTAGAACTGT